AATTTCAGTTTGCCAACTGCCTGTCCTCACTGGAGCCAAAAGAAACTACACATCCCCAAATCATTTCTCTATCTTAAGGATAAGGGAGGAAGAAAAGACTTGCAGCAAAAATAGGAAGGTAAGAAAGGTCACAGTGTAGTCCATTTGGTTCTTACCTGCCCAGGAGACTTAGTATACTGAGGTGCTCAAATAAAAAGAGGGAATAGAAAGAGCAGTTCAGACAAATGGTTGAGAAAGCATGAAATGAAATACGTTGCTTTTTTGTCTGAAAATAATATTTAAAAGAATCTGCTGACTATGACCAGTTAATAGATGTGAATGAATGAATGAATGAATGAATGAATGAATGAATGAATGAATGAATGAATGAATGAATGCAGCATTGTGCAACTGAACTTCTGCTTATTGGGTGAGAATTTCTGATTCACTTTCCATTTGCAAAGATGTCCTGGCATCTACTCTCTGATAGGAAAATGATTGTATTTGTTTTGCTGACAGAAATGTACTACTAAATACAATTTCTTATTTCTTACCAATTGAACATTGTATTTAAGATGGATTTGAACCACTGAATTTCAGCCTCCCTTAGTAATATATTCATCACTTTAAGTTATTTGAAAGAATAATAAAGTGGGAAATTAATTAATTAATGTCCATCCTCTTTGAAAAATGAAATGTGGATAATCCATGTGGATTATTTTAGCACTATACAATAATACAATAGCAGAGTTGGAAGGGACCTTGGAGGTCTTCTAGTCCAACCCCCTGTCTAGACAGGAAACCTATACCGTTCCAAGCAAATGGCTATCCAACATCTTTTTAAAGACTTCCAGTGTTGGGGCATTCACATCTTCTGGAGGCAAGCTGTTCCACTGATTAATTGCTCTAACTGTCAGGAAATTTCTCCTCAGTTCTAAATTGCTTATCTCGTTGATTAATTTCCACCCATTGCTTCTTGTTCTACCCTCAGGTACCTTGGAGAATAGTTTGACTAGGGAACCCCTGAGATATTGGAACACTGCTATCATGTCTTCCCTAGTCCTTCTTTTCATTAAACTAGACATACCCAATTCCTACAACTGTTCTTCATATGTTTTAGTCTCCAGCCCCTAATCATCTTTGATTAGGGGACTGCATGGATGTATATAATTCATCATGACAAAGACAAGATGCTCTGAAATGAAACCATGCTTGAACAATAAAGGTCTAATCTGCCTAGGATTGGAGAACTTGATAGGTAATATATTAGATAGCCTTCCACACAAAAGGCAACTCCTCTTGAAATCAAGTAAGTTTAGAACATTTAAAAAATCATTGAAACTTCTACATTTTCAAATTCTACATTTAGAATTTTTATTCTAATTTTAAAGTATCACTGAATAATTAGATCATTTATTTTTCCCATATTTCTTCAAACGAATGTACCTAGTCAGCCAAATGCAAAGTTGTCCCCTCTCAAAAAACATACAAATACTTGTGGGGATTTGTACATTTCTTTATAGAAAAATAATTTTAAAAGAGCAACTTAGAACAAAAAGCAGTTCTTTGAATTTACACTTTCCTCTCCTTTGAAATTCCCCTAAGATATGTCTATTATTAAATTTTCCAGCCTCTTATTGAGAGGAATTCATATGAATGAAGATCCTAAAGAGCTGCAGCAGAACAGTAGAAACCCCAAAGAGTAGAACAGTGTTGTCTTGCACTTATGAGTTCCACATATCCAAAGATTATTTCTAGAAAAGTTTTCACTCATATGAATACTATCAGTAATGTGAAATGGTATAGTTAAGATAACATGATGAACATTATAGTCAGGTTGAGTAATTTTGATTTGACTCACTTCCAATTTTTTTCTGTTTGGTCTATCTTATTTCTGTAGTAGTTTTTTCCCCCCTGTTTCACTCAATGTGCTCTTTCTGCTAATACATGTACATTTAACATGAACACAATTGTTCAATTTATAAGCTATTTTTGTAAAAGTGCAGATGTTGATACATCACTGCATACCATTTTATATTCCAAGTTGGGAGTTGCAAATCTGAAGTGAATAAATTCAATCTTCCAATCCTATTCCTTGACCGGCCTAGAATTTCTTTTTTTATTGTCATCAAGTAAAAAGCAATATAGTAATTGTATATTAATATGTCATTACTTCTCCATTTTTTCTTTACTTATTAAAAACAGAGAAACTGGTTTTTTGGGGTGGGGGCTGTAGCATGTGAAAGAGAAGTTTTCTGTTTTTTGTACTTGAGATCCCCACTTTCATATGATTTAAAGTATGGAGGGAGGGAGTAGAAGAGCCATTTGGTACTTTGTCTGCAAATATTGGAGAGGGATATTTTCAGAGAAGCCTCTGCAACTGATTATTAGCAATGCTAAGATGCTAATTTATACTTAATAAAGCTGTAATACGCTGAATATTTAAACTTACCACTTCCTCTTTAGTTTTATAAATGAGGAAGCATAGGAAAGTGTTACATGGCACAGCTGTGCTTATATTTTCCTGCTTGCCCAAAATACCTGTGGTATAAAGAATTATCGCACACATCTACGAGACATTAAAGACACTTAATGTCAACAACCAGCTAATCAAAGTAATATGATCTCACAAGTTAATATAAAGCTGTTCTTAAGCAAATTTTAACATTTTAGAATACTAAGATATGATGATATTGGGATCTTCACTTCTTTGCAATGCTTTAAAAATAGTATTGTCAAGCCTATTCCTTCCTGTCCAATTGATAAAGTAAGATATTTTAATCAATTATCACTAAAAAGGACCTCAATTTCCTATCAAAACAAAGAAAACTAAAAGCTTGTCATCTAGCATATCCTACAGCATGAATTGGCCCTCTTATGTTGCCATGGTATAAGTATAATCTTTGTTGTCATTGTACTTAAATACAACAAAATTGGTTTTAACCTCACTGGTGCAAAATTATAACTGAAACGAAAAAAGAAAGAAAAAGAAAAAAAAAACTAGTGTGTGCATGGAGTGATTGTGATTGTATTTAAAAGTCTCACAGCCCAAGGATAGAAACTATCTTTAAACCTGTCTGTTCGGCTAGCTATACTTTGATGTCTTCTGCCTGATGGTAGAAGTAGAAAGAGACAGTAGGGGGAACAGAATAGTTCCCTGTCCTCACATACTCAATCTAAGTTCAAGATGGGCAGCTATATACATATTTTAAATAAACAAATGCATACTATGTTAGGGATCCTACCAAATGAGAAGCTTGCAGAGAATTTTCTTGCAGAACTGGATTGGAGCATTATCAAATGCTTAGATAGGGTTCCAATCTACATTTTCAGGCAAGCTCAATGCTTGCAAATGGTAATTTGCCCAAAATTTTGCAATTTTCTTTAAGAAACATCTTGGACCAAGCATAGTGGTCATAATCAATCAAATCTCGAAGAGTTTATAGATTATTCTGTGAGCAGTTCTGAACCTACATCTACTCATATTATATGTTGAGAAAATTTTAAGACTTTCCCAATTTTTTTGAGAACTGAGGCTCACTTTATTCCTGAGAAACTTAAAAGATGGCATTTTCAAAGAATCCTCCCTCTTGTACCACTGTTTGAATTATCAGTGTGGACATGCTTCTTCACTGGAAGGCGGCAAACCCGAGGAGAAAAGTGAAAGGACTCATTGAAGGTGGAAATTCTGCTTCAGTGGTACTTGGGGGGGCAGGGAACACAGTCACTTCAAATGTAACATTTTGAAAAGGCACAAAAAACAGCAATGTGCAATTCTAGAACAGGGGTGCCAAATCTGCGTTGTCACATTGTTGTCACATGATTTATCACAACTTTTTTCCCCTTCGCTAAAACGGGGGTTCGTGTTTGACATTCTTGTTCTAAAAGCTATTCCAAAGAAAAGTGTGCCGGGGGGATCTACGCCGCGCTCTAGCCTCGGCGACTTGCAAACCGAGTTGTTTGCAAGTATTACATTTGTTCAGAGCGGGGGGGGGGGGAGGGGAGGGGAGGTGTCCTGGCAGAATCCAAACTATAGTTATTTTAAGAAATGCTGAGGGTCAAAATAGATGTGACAGTTGAGCAGGGCTCTCTTGCTTTGTAATTCTTATCATTGTTTAGACCTGAAATGAAACAATCTGAGTTTAATCCCAGTTTACTGTGTATACCTAAATGGATATGTAACACCTCTGTGGAATCTGCTTGTTGGGAACTTTCCTGCAACCTATCCTGGGAAAAGAATTTCTTTGATAAGTCCATTAGGAACGTTCCATGGTGACGGTGGGATAGCCTTCATTTAGGAAGAAAAGCTTTTGACCCAAGAGATGAAGTATCATCTAATCCTGCCCTCTGCTAGTATAGGAGATCTACTATGATCCAAAGGGGACTTCAACGTTTTGGTTTAAAATATCTACTTGAAAAAGACTTAGCACCTTCTGAGATGGGCTGGTTTTATGCTGAATAGCTGGTCCGTGAAATGTACCATCTATTCAGTATGGTGGGCTTTCTCCTACTAAGGGAAAAGGGAGGAAACAAAATTCTTATAATCCATCTGTGTTTCCTTGGTTCTCAAACTTTTTAAAACAAAACACCTGTCAGCAAAAACCTGCTGTGCTATTGAGGTACAGCCTCCTAGCCATTTTCCTTACTGTATTGAAATATTACTAAGAGAATTTACTAAAAGAAATCATATCTCATCACATACAACACTTAAAAAGAATGATCAAGTCAGTGGTGGGTTCCAGATACAGTGGTGGGTTCCGGTAAAGTGCAACAGGGCCCGGTGTCCACCACATGAATGAGGGCAGCACACGCGCATGTGTACTTACCGCCTGCGATGCTTCAGCTGCTCGACGGAGCGTTGCACAGGCGCCGTACGCTCCGTGTGCATGTGAAAGCCCCAAAGAGCTCAAATACCGGTAAGGAGCATGGGTGGGTGGGTGGGCGCTCCAGAGCACTGTACCAGAACAGTACCCAGTACTCCCAGCAGACACCGGTACGCCCGTAAAAGGCGTATCGATCGTAACCCACCACTGGACCAAGTACATGTTGTGTGGGAGATAGAATTCCCCACCCCTTTTTTAAAAAATTTAGTAATTGCTATTAACATTTCTTCTTATGCCACTCTGAATTATTTCATCTGTTTCATTTAGCATATAGTTACTTTCCATATATACCTAATTGTTGCGAAAGACTAAAAATGAATTTAAAAGCTGCTTCCTAGAATACAGAAATTTCCTGGTAGAGAACAGGGATACTGGGGCGGTGGGGAGGAGGAGTCTTTAAAATAACAGTTTTATGAATGATTGGCTTCTGGTTGACTGGTCACTCCACTTCTAAGGATGGTATATTGTGTACCTAATACATAAAAAGCATGTAGCTTATATAATGGCTTTTGCAAATCTCTACAGAGAAAAAAATATATTCACAGATTCCCTTTCAAAAAGAAAGCTTAATTCCAGTTTTGGAACTCAGAAGCTGGGATAATTCCTCTCCATTCGTGCTGATGGAAAACAAATGTTTAAAGCAAAAGAAATAAAATGGGGGTGAGATAGAATAGATCAACCATAAACAAATCAAAAGTGTCCATTCTCACTTTTGGCAGGAGGATTCTGATACACATGCAAAACTTGTGATATTAGATCCGCCCTCAATCCCTGACCAAGAAGCCACTTGCTGCATTTTGTTATGAGCTGTCACTATTCCCAACACTGGTTTGCCACTGTGGCACAAATAGCCATCACATTCAAAACAGAAAATATAACCTTTGGAAGTGGGGGAGCGGAGGGCAAAGGTAATAGGTCTGGTCCATTTAGAGTACTACCTTAGCATATTATCATCATGTCTATTATTGTCCCTTAAATCAAGAATGGCATGCTCTTGCATTTATGCTGGTACAGTCAGCATGATAGAAAGCCTTATAGCTCAAACTTTTAGGAACAAAAATATGACAGTAAGGGGCTTGGATTTAATTAATGAATACATGTCATTTCTTCACTCCCAGTAATTTTATAAGCATTAGCCATGAATGCACAATTCCCTGATTTGAAATCATAGCAAAATTTTAGCAGAAGCCAAACATATCCCAAATATCCACTTTTGCTCAAACTACTTCATGGGAAGGAACAGGCTTGCATGTCTTCCAAGTGGCATCTTCCAGAAGCTGAAGAGTGTTGTTATACCCCTGAGTTGCGTGTAGTATTTTGGTGGTTCCAGCATGGTACATTCCTTGATGGGATTTGTAAAGTGAGGCACACATGAAGACCTGCACAGGTAGAAGAAATGCTGTTTTGGGGTTCTCTTTTTCCCCAGACAATGTTGGAAGGAGAGGAAAAGGTGCATCTGACAAGATATAAAAGAGCAGGAGGTCCTTCATGAAGATCTTTTTCCATACAGTGAAGCAGAGCAATGTGGTACCCCTTCAAAGGAGAGCTTCATTCCTGCCCTTGTCTATCCAGGAAGCAATGGAAGACTTGGTAGATTAGGGTGTTGATTATTTGCTGGCCAGGAAAAGGAAAAGGAAGAAGGCGCTGTTACCTTCTTTTCCACCCTATGGTGAGAATACTGACCCAGAAGCACAAAGATCAAGCTATGATTTGGGGCTAAGCCCCTCCAGACCTGTAACACAGAAGGAAGGGGTTTTTTAAGGTCAGAGTAGTAAGAGGAATGCAAGATGGTGCATGGGGAAGGATAGGGGAAAGGATGGGGCTGTTGTAATGATTCCCTACTGGTTAAAAGAGCCAGATGAATATCCCTTTCCTCTTTCTCTTGTGAGCCCACTAAATCCAAAGAAAAACCTAGAATTGGTGCTGTAGATCAGTGTTGTCTTTTTAGCCTAGAAGACTTTAACATATGTGGACTTCAACTTCTAGAGTTCCCCATTGAGTATTGTTGGCTGGTGAATTCTGGAAATTGAAGTTCATTTATTTTAAAGTTTCCAGGGGAGAAAAGCACAACTATAGATGATGAAAAAGAATGTTTTGGAACACTACTGGCAGTTGCGTCATTACAATCTTAGTTGTTGTTGTCCTCAAAACTGTGCCACTGCTTTATAACAACCCAACAAAAGCAGTTTTTTATTATGAATACCAATATGGTGTTAGTTAACCCACTGTTTTCCCAGTGTAGAAGCAAAATAGACACTGCCCACTTTATATTTTGAAAAACATACATGATTTCTCTTCTTACTATATTATTATTATTAAGCCAGACATATAGCAGCCATTTCAAAACTTCAAGTTTCTAGAAATTGTACAGTTGCAAAATTAAACAAATGTAATGGAAACCTCAGGAACCTCAGGAGTCTTTATTTTTTTAAAAAATGAGGACCAGGTAGTAAGTTGGATATCCATTGCTAAACGAGGGTAAGGGTCCACATAGGCTGCATTTTGCCCTCGCCTGGATCTTAGGGTCTCTGTTTCCACTCCACCATCAAATTTTAACATTTCACTGGAATTTGGCCTTGAGCCGTTTGAAGTGGGGGGTGGAGTTCCTTCCCAGATGGTGTGCCTGATTGGTGATTTTAGTTTTCTTTTTTCTTATCCTTTCCCATTGTTACATCAAAACCTTCACTGATTAACTGCAGCTTTGTCAGAAAAAACAAACCGAATTTGTACCAAATTACTTGCTCTGTTTATACAGAATTATTAACAAAAGCTTTTGTGTACTGTAAATAAAATATAAACATTCAAAAAAAAAATTCTAACTCAAATTTGTTTCAAAAAGCCAAATATTTCTCAGGATATAAAGAACTCAGCTTATGGTCATCTCTTTTTTTATTATTATTATTTTATTCTACAGACATTTCTAAGATGATGTTCCACAAGCCAGTTACCACTGGTGATACATTTAGGAATGAATTGGTTTATTTAAAAAACACTTTCTGAAACTAACATTTAAATATACTTGATACAAAATTATCCAACTCTTGGTTCCAGACTTTTATTTATTGATTCCATATCTCCCAATATAATTACCACAAATCTCTTTAAATTTGAATCTTATTATTTTTTGGCAGAAGAATGAATTTTGAGTTACTAGTTCAGTTATAGAATGAACAATTGAAATATACTTTGGGAGAAGTTGAAGGATCTTATATAGTGAAAAATTGTTAATTTATGAAAAATAAAAGGAATAATTAATTTTCTATCCTTTCCAACACAGAGTTAAAAAGATTTATTTAAACATCTAAATGTCTTAGATTCTGTTCTTCATAGGGCTGCATCTTTTTAATACATATTGTATGCATATATTGGAAAAAAATCAGTATGTGCAGTTCTTCTTTAAAAAGAAATATATTTATTTCCTAAAATGAACTTTGGAAGATCTACCTTTAATACATGAATATTTTTATTATAGTTAATACATGAATACTTTTATTATGTCGTGAAGATTTAATTCATACTGAAAGGCACTTATTTACTGTATGATACAGTCCACGACTAACAATGGAAACAGAAGTCATATTACCCCAATATAGAATAGGAAGTGGTTTTCAGATGTTTTCTCCTCCAGAAACCTAACTTGGTAGCATGTCAGTAATACAAACCTTTTAATTATATAAGTATCTAGTGTTTAAAGCAATTAAATGTAGATGACAATCTCTTTTGCAGCCCCTAATACTCTGGCTCTTTTAAACTTTCAAGGAAGAATAACACCATGAAATAGGAACAAATGCCAAGCAAGCAAGCAACCAAATCATATTCAAGAAAGTAATGCATAATATGCAGAGCAGCAGAAAAGCATGGGTGTATGTCATATAGCATATACTGGAGCAGACTATCTTCCCCAAGTTTTGAATAAGGCCCTGAACTTCAGAAAGGGGAATCTTCCTAAGACAAGATACAAGATCTTAATTTATTAATTAGAATGATAAAGAAATAATCAGCCTACATGTAAGCACATCAGAATGGTTCTAGTCAATCTTCTGATGATTCGAGTGATGTTTTCCTCTACTTAGGTAGCTTTTATAAGCTCTGTTTCACATGAAAAATATAAATATTTTGGTCACCACCTCATAAAGATCCCATTGGGTGAATGTACATAAACCAAAACAAGTAGCCCAAACCTATTAGTGTCATTAAATGGGTCTTTTCTATTCTACTAGAACTCAGACTAAATCTATGCAAAATGATTGTTATTGTTATTATTTTCATAATCATAGAATTAATTGTGCTATTTAATTCTTTCCCTACTGGCCACTTTTCCATTCAAAATTGCAAATGAGCAGCATGTGCTTCATTGGTAATAGGAAACTCCTAAATTCTAAATACCACTACTTAAACATGTATTTTGAAACTTTAAAGAGCACAGGAAATATAATTAAACATATGCACTCCAGGAAGGTTCAACAGCTACGCCGGGCCTTGTGCATCCATTTCAACTTAGCAGCAGATTCATTCAATATATCTCCTTTCAGATTCCTGGGGATATTAGTTATACCTCAGGGCTGCAACAATTCCGCAACATGGCAAATTCCTAATGTCTTTGAACAATAGATTCCACAGCTGGCTGGGAAATCTAAGAGTTAAAATTAAAACACTCCTGAAGTCTTCAGGTTTTAGAAGGCTGTTTTATAATATAGCTTGATGCTTTATTATTCAGCACCATACCTACCCTCTTTTATAATAGAATGGGTGTGGGCCCAATTAAAGCATACTTCTCCTTGGCAATATAAGTGTATATTATATCGTATACATGTATAGGTGGTGAGGTCATTGCAGAGATATGTGGAAGTTTTTGTGTCTCAAAATCAACACAGTTCACTGCAAACTGTTTCTATTTGCGAAATATCCCACTGTGAGAATGATATAGTAAAATCCTGTGCTAACTTTACCATAAAGTGAAATAAAGGATTGTTACTTGGGCCTTAAACTGGAGAAAGATTAATTCCCATCCCTGTCATCCAGTGAGCAGAACGAGAGATTCATTAAATGGCTGGATAGAACACCTGTGGCCTTTTTACTTATTCACTAGACACCCCCTCACGATAGCAACTGAAGAAATGGAGAATGAGGCAGATACTGATGGATGTATGGACGGGTGAAATTCTCTCTGCCGAGACAGGCCTCCATGGGAGCTCTGGCCCTTCTGCACCAATGATCATTGCAAGCAGCAGGAGCGGGGAGAAGGCGATGAGGAGGATGGGATGGAGGCGGTAGGTGATGGAGAGATGTGCTCAGGAAAGCTGCTACATGCTCTGCTGAGCTGGGCCGTACCTTCCTCTGCGAATGTTCCTTTGCAAGCCGAAGAGAGAAAAGGAAAGAGAGAGGGGGAGCAGGGGTTAGCAGATAACTTCAGCTGTACCTCTTGGCCTGACTGCTTCCAGTCTTCGTGCCACATGCTATGGTTGGTAATGCAAACTAGCTTAACATGCAATTTCTTCTTACCATCCAGGACAACTTTTGTGCAGAGAGATCCAATTACCATCATTCTTGGAGAACTCCATTAGCTCATGTAGCTCCTGTCAGAACTTAAAGGGAGGCTGGAAATATCACAAAGAAGAGCACCTTCATTCCACTCTCCCCTGCAGCACGTTCTCCAAGGCAAGTGGGCCTCACGTTCCTAGTCTGTGTTAGCCTGCATTTCTTCTGGAAACACTACATGACAATGTTGTTTGCTTGCATTAAAGAAAGTTTACTTGTAATTGCATACCAAGAATACCACACGTAGAACTAGAGGGAATGTAGAAGAAGCTGCCAGGGAAAAGGGATTTTCTGCAGGGCAGAGGTCCTCCATTTTCCTTATCCTTCCATTAAGTTCCCTCTGCTACTTTTTTCGTTCCTTGTATCACCTTTCCCAACAGATGATAAAAATAAACCAATGACGAAAGAACTCAAATTTTGCAACCAAAACAACATTCCAAATGCCTGGGGCTCATGTGATTGGGGAAGCAAGAAAAGTTGTTTGTGATTCCAGAATTGTTACAGACCTAAGAAACCAAAGTGATTATTCTGTCTTCGCTACAAATTGAAGGTGCTTTCCTCATCTTCATTCCTCAAACATCTTCTTCCTTCCAGCCTCCCAAACAGTGGTGCTGCGGAATTTATATTCTCTCACCCCTCAGTGCAATAGTGCAAACAGACCAACCCATACAACATGTCATATCAGCAATAAACCCTGCAGGGAAGCAAGAGATCTTGGGTGGGGGGTCCAAGTGGGATACAGTTAACTTTATAGGATGTACCTCCAGCTTTTGTTATGAGCAGAATACCCAAAGCAGCTTCTCCCACTTCTTACGCATTAAAATATATATTGATATATTGGATAACACTCATATCATCTCCTACCAATAAGCTGAGAATAGTGGAAGTGTAGTTTAAGACTGGATTTTACAAAGCTGCTTTGGGGATAGAATAGATATTTAAGGACGGTTGTTCCCCACTCCACCTCCATGCCAATGTCCCCGTCACCATTAGTATCTGATTCATGCAATCCCAGGTCAGGCGCTCCTTCATTCATGCAAGTGTCAATCCATGCAAAACATAACAGGAAGCCTGGTGTGGATCAGAGAGGAACAATAGCTACCCCCAATCGGTCTGCAGGTCCCTCCATTTCTGTCTCCGTGCCCTGCTTCTCTTTCCCAATCTGAATAGTTTCCCCTGCCAAATAGTTCTTCCCCTCACTAAGCCAACAGTATTAACCCAACCCGATGAACTAAAAACCAAATGGCACTTTTACCCAAGGCAAACAAAAAACCAATTATACACACGCCAAGAATAGAAAAGGTTCTGGCTGAACTTTCAAAAACCAGCAGCATCAATATCTAGGAAACTGGGGGGGGGAGGTGTGGGGGAGGGAAAGAAGTAATGAGAACACTTTATGGTCCCCTTCCACTTAATACTTCTCTTATTATGTTCAAGATGGGGAAGAAAGAGAAATCCTGCTTTAACTGTTGTGAGACCAGCAAGCTAGCATCTTAAGAGGAGAAATTATGACAAAATTACAACAATACCAGCCAATCCTTGGAAGTAGATCAGTATGAATTTTTTTCCAGTTCAGTTTACTGTTGCTCTCTCTAATGCCACTAGGAAGTATCCTGAAACTTACCATATATTATTTTTATTAGTGGAAAAACACTACAATGCAATTTTAATACATCACACTTCTGAATTTTTTGTTCCAATATAACATCTTGTGATAATAACTGAAATTTACCACGTTTTACCAAGCAAAAACAATTTTTGTATTTTCCCCACTTCTATGCTCAGATATGTGTAAATATGGACTCTCACCACAAGAGGGTGGCTTTGGCCTGTCTATCAAGCACCATACATGCCTGGAAATACAACTAAATATTAGTTTGTGTCTCCATAATACTGTACACCTTCTGTCTCTCTTCACCTTTTCCAGACCTATAGCTCAACTTGTCACATTTTCCTATAGCAGCCAAACCTTATTTTGCTGAAATGGATTCAGACTATTGACCAACATCTTATTTGCATATATCTTCCTTTGCCACCCCTCTCTATCCACTGATGGTTCCTTCCAGAGATTCTTAATACCAACTTCAACTTAAAATGCAGCAAAGACTCAATCCATCATCTAAGCCTGCCCCCTGTTTCCAGTCCAGGCATGTAGTCAGACATAGCTAGCTCAAGAATATCCATGCTTTTGCTGTACTATCATAAGAAGGTTTTGCATCATGGAAACAAGCTTGCAAAAACCGTTGTTGTTGCATTACACCTTTAGTACAGATAGTCCTTGACTTACAGTTATAATTGATCCTGAAGTTTCAGCCAGAAATCATTGCATTAGCAACTCAAGGCATTATATGACCAGCTCCGATTTTTTTTCTACTCTTTTTGTATTGGTCATTAAGAGAACGCTGCAGTCATTAAGCAAATGTGGTTGTCACTAAGCAAATCCATTTTCCTCGACTGGTACTATTTTTGCTGGAAACCAGAAATAAATGCCAGAAACCAGCAAAACAAAAGTCAGAAATTATGGTCATGTGATTGCGGGATAGTGCAAACAAAGGTGAACCAGTTATTGTACATTCAAAACTGAAATCACATGACCACAGAGAGGGGTGCAGCTTTGTAACTTTAAAATGGGTCGTACATAGCTCTGGGAAAGCCCACCGTAACTTCAAATGGTCATTTGAGTGAACAATTGTAAGTCAAGGACTACCTGTGGAATATCTGTATGACTCCACCCTGAAGAGGATCCTCCCCTTCAGCCCAAAACTAAGGTGGGGGTGGATGGGCCATACCTGGGCTCAATTCCCCTTTCCCCAAATAAGTGCCACTGCAAAAGGCACCTGGAATACATGCAACAGAGAGGAAGTCCTCAAGGCAATCTAGCCCACGGGCACAGCAACTTGAGAAGCACAATATGTGCACGTTGACGCTGCTTACTTAAATCCCCATCCAGTGCCACCAAGAACAATAGCAGCCACCAAGATGGCTCCAGCAATGGAGCCAATAATGATGTTGGTACCACTGGGACCTGTGGAGAAAGAGGGGACAAAAAAAATGAACAGTATTGTAATTATGTGTGTTCTTCGTATGTAGCACAATGCGCAGAACTTGGCTGTACAACAGAAATGTATTATTACAATAAGAACATATAATATAAAACATCTGGAAATCAGAAAAAGGGATTGCTTTTATATAGGAAAATAGGAACAGGAGAATATTAGAACAGTTTCCAAGAAGTAAGGAAGAAGTGAGAAAAGAAGGCTATTCGAACAGTAGATTGACACATCACTCGTCTTGCACTATATATTGCAAGTTTCTCCAGTCCTGGAAGATTCTAGCATTCCCTATTCCCTTTTTTAGAAAAATCAGGAAATACCTGGACAGATAAAAGACATGCAGGAATTTATCCAAAATAGAAAATGCCCGAAGAGCAATGGTGGAATTCAACCAGTTCGCACCTATTTGGGAGAACCAGTTGTAACTTTCTAAGCAGTTTGGAGAACCAGTTGTTGGAAGAAATCTCATTTTGTTTTTTTTCCACTTTAAGGGCTAATCCTGTAAGGAAGGAAGGCAGGAAGGAAACGTTCTGGTGTTGTTTCTAGCCTAATCTTTATTGCCCTGCTTACAGAAACTGTCTCTCCTGTTAACCCTTATTACATTGTAACAGCTAAGGAGTAGCGCCCATCAACGTGAGTAATGTTGAGTTGGCCATGCCCACCCAGTCATATGACCACAGAGCCCCGCCTACCCAGCTGGTTCATTAGGTCAGAGAACCGGTTGTTAAATTATCTGAATCCCACTATTGCTGAAGGGCTTTCAGACTGGATAAGATTTCTTCAAAAAAACCTTTTCAACTATTAATTGATTAATTGAGCGTTCTGCCTCTCTGCAAAGTGTGCTGGGCCTCCCACAACTTACCCTTGTATTTTTCTGTTTCCCCAGTAGGCTTAGGGTCTGGAATAGGATCATAGACACTGCAGTCTTTTCCTGTCCAGTCTGGATAGCAAATGCACTGGCCCTCATTGCTGCAGACCTGTAATTAAGCAAGATGCTTTTTGTGGGGCTCCTCAAACCCATTCCAGTGATTTTTTCCCAGAAATTTTTACGTGTTCATTTCTTTCTTTAGCGGGCACCATTACACAACGAGTTGACAAAAATTAAGCTTTCAATATTCCCACAATACATCAAAAAATAATTCTATATTATTTAATAATGCTGAAGAATGGCTGTTTCTCAATGAAATAATCTTTTTTTTTTGTTGGCATACCAACAAGATATTAAATCACAATCAGCTTTTTCTATGACCCATCATTACTTGCCAACTTCTGAAAAGATGAGGGGCTAACAAATTTAATAAATAAATACACTTTAGGAATATTTAAGATAGACATGTTCCTATTTTGAATGTTCCTGTTTTATCTTTAATATTTAATCCACAAGAAAATAAAGCCAAGAAAAAAGTGCAGATGGCACAATATTGGCATTTATATAGATCATACTTGGCAAGATAGTTGCTAAATGATACATTTCTCTCTCTTTTTTGCATTACTATTTAATGGAAACAGAAAACACAACTTTTTTATTTATAATTTTTACCCCATGGTCAAAGCAGATCTGGCCACCCCAGCTGCCTGGGCAGATACTGAAGTTAAAGGCAGAAACGGGAAGGCATTTGTGATCAAGACACAACATGTTGGGCCCGCAGGGTGTCCCGTCTTCTACATAGCTCAGCTCTGTGCCGTCCACCAGTTGCACATGGCCACCCCTGGGTGGGGGGGAAAAAGCTCCATTGAGTGAAGGAATATTTCAATGCCCTTTAAAATCTCTTTGGTTCATGCTGACAATGGTGAAAAGTTTGAGGAAGAAAGGACAATAGGCACTTTTTTTCCCACAGCCCCCTTCATTATACTGCATTACACTACATCCCTAAGGAATCTGTGATTCTGTGCCTTCAGGATTGTGGCTGGCAGGCAGACATTCCCCAAAATTATTTGGAAACTTATTCTATGGTGGGAGGGGATCAATCTGCAGCCCAGAACATTCCTATTTTCATCTCTCCAATTCTCCAGCAAGTTGGCACGAATGAAGTGCAAGACTTACCGGCAATCAATATATCTCTTCTGGTGATAGAATGTCATTGTTGTGATCTCGCCTAGCAGTTCACCAATACGTGGAGATCCAGTTGCATTGGCACAGAGAAGATATCCACACAACACATCCCTAATTGGAACGGGAGGAGAGGAACACAACATGCTTTTAAAAAAACTGGCTTCTGCCTCAACTTATTGGTTGTGGCATTCTAGTGACTTCCCTCTGTGTGATTTGATTCAGCACACTATGGGAAAGGATATTGTGGGAAAAGGAGAAATCTCATATTACTCACTGCTTGATACAGGGCACCCAGCGGTTCCCCTCATGCCCACAGTTCCCACGCTCAGTGCCTTCAACATTGAGCTTCTCGTAGCAAAACCTTTCAGCCGAAGCTTGATTTTTTTCAGGAAGAAAAGTGAGAAAGAGAATAAGAGCAAGCCAAAGAACATAATAACCATGGATTTCACACATTGAATACTGAAGAATTATTCTATGTTTGACAAGGAAGAGAATAAATGCTATCTCTAGGTCAGCAGTGATCCCGGTGCATGGAGAAGCTTAGGAAGGAACTCAGATAATTAAATAATTTATTTACTATACATCCATCCGGACGTCTTCTACTGACCTAGCTTTTTATGTATAACATTTGGCCAACTCCAAAAGTGCTTAACATTTTAAAAACACTATTTTCAAGTAAAAGATTTCTATTTCTAAAGGTTCATTTTGCTATCTAAGATGAAAACATTTTGCTTTTTATTCAGCTTCAAACCTACCAAGTCTTTTCAGTTTGAAGGAATGAGTAAAAATTGCTTCAGTAAATAATGGACAAATAATACTTCCATGGTGCCAAGTCAGCTTCCTATCCTTCATTTGCACTATGAAAACGTCATCTTAGTAACAGCCAGAAGAGGTGGGATTGTCTGGAGACATGAGCCAATTCGGATGGATAAAGCAGCAGATTATCCAATGATCCTTAAGGTACGGCTGACATGGATGGTTTTTGTTTTATCTCTTTTTCTCCCCCATCTTTCTCTTCCTGTTCTTATCTTCTGATTTTGGGTTCATGGTACGTACCCTCTTCTGTTTAAATCCATCTTTAGCATTTCCAGAGTTTCTAACTGCTATGTTTTATTCAATCTGTCATAATGTGAGACCTCCAGATACTGTAAATTAAAACTAGTTCCTGTCCTCTCCTGATAAATGGTAGGAATTGGTATCCGGCTCATGTGGAAGTTATTGGTTTTTGGAAGAAGCCTTATCAAGGCAAAGTTGATGTCAATAAAATAATTGCCCATTCTTCCCCTGCCTTTTCCAGTCCTTTCCCTGTATATGCATGGGTGTTTTAAATTAAATTAAATTAGATTACTGCTGGAATAGAAATTCTAGTTTTCTATAAAGCACAACATGTGTACATGATGTTAAATATGGTAAATATACAAATAGTCAGATTCATTTGTCTTTTTGGCTGTTGGATTTAATTTCTGTTTGTTGTTAAAATGGTTGGCAGAAGTTGAAATAAGCAAAGTGAATAATGGTGAATATCTCTGGCACAAGCAAAGAACAGGGCTAGGATCTTGCAAAATTACAGTTCATTTGGGAATTTCTATGTTAATTTAGAATAAAGCAACAGTGCATGACAGTGCCAATTTCAATTAGTAGCCAAGTTGAGGGACCCAAATTGTTAGCTTCAAATTTAGTCCATTAGCATTATATTTACAGTTGTGGCATGGTTGTGGACTTTTTCTTTAATTTACCCCCCTACTGAATTACTTCCATAAGAGTCATTAAGTGTTAGGGAAGATTTAGGTCTTTTTCCCTTTATGTAACTGCAATACAAAAAAAAGCTCTGAAAACTCTTGTTATTACTTTGTAATGACGACATGGTCTTCATTTGATTCCCCAGCCCCTATTCCAGATACAGTCAATGTTCCTTAACAGTTCTGGTATTCAAGCTTTCCTTTCCATCGTATCCTGATCCTTCTTTTTTTTTTGGTCACATATACAAATGACATACTTCACTGGCCATTCTCTTATGGGCACAACCAGGTGCTCTTTAATATGTGGAATCAGTCAAGCTTCTATTGGTCACTTCAGGAACATGCATATCAGAGGTGGTATTCTTCCGGTTTAGACCGGTTCACTTGAACTGGTAGCGGAAATCACGGGTGGCGCCGCCCACCCTCCCCAGCTCTACAGCATTCCTTTAGGTCCTCTTTCCGCCAAAAGTGCATGCGCAGAAGACTGTTCGCATGTGAGGAGGTGGCGTGCACTCACATTTGCGAACCGGTAGGAAAGGTAAGTGAATACTACCCCTGATGCACATACAACACTTGCACACATGCACAAATACACAAAATCCACATCCGTGGACACTGTCCTGCATGGCTATTCTGGTCCAGGCAATTGGAAAATCATTATCTTTCAGACCACTCCCTTTTCCTGTAAACACTAAGTACAAAAGAACAAAATAGATTTTAATACACTCAAATAAAGTAGAATTCCACCGTAAGAGAAATTAATGGGAAAAGAAGCTCAAAATGAAAAGATGTTCCTAAAAAAGGATGTACTCAATGCACAACTGCAAACAATTCTAGGAGTCTGGAACTCAAGACAGTGTTTTAGGAAAGCTAAAACTCAGAACATGCTGAGATAAATGAAGAAGTCTGAGAACAAACAAATAAAACCCAAAACATTTCTTTAGCCATGATAAGAAGAAAGAATCAATAGACCAGTTGCTCATTTGTCTCCATCTCCTCCAGCAAGAAGGTATATTTTGACCCAGAAAATTATGAAGAGCGGAATGAAGAGGCAGGACCAAGGCATGAGACTGATGAAAGCACAGTCTGGCATTATTTGTTACTTTGCATTAAATCTCCAGGAGCAGATGAATTGCATCCTAGGATATTAAAGGAACTTACTGAAGGTCTGGCCAATCCATTATCTTTGAGAGATCTTGGAGAACAGGTGAAGTGCCATATGGCTGGAAAAGAACATGTTTTGCTTCCTTCAAGAAGGAGGGAAAGGATTATATCAAAGTCATTCTGACACTAATATAGGAGAGTTTAAAGCAGACAATAAAATAATGAATCTGTGAGCACTTTCAAAACAGTGTGATAATTACTTTTTTTTTTGCCAGATATATCTCACTTTTATTGGGTAAATTCATAAGTGGTTTTGGCAGAGTTACTTTACATTTATTTCACCAAAGTACTTGACAAAGTACTACATTTAATTAACAAACTAGTAATCCACAGTATGGATGACATGGCAATTAAGTACATAGATTGCTCAAAGAGTGCCCATCAATGATACCTCACAAAAATAGAAAGACATATGTTGTAAGACCAATCTTGGGCCCTGTATTATATTTTTATTTATCAAGGGATGAAGAGATGCTCATCAAATTTGCATAAAACTGGGAAATAATGCCCTAACACAGAAATAAAATTCAAAATAATATTGATAGTTTAAAGAAACATAAAACATAAGAATATGAAATTTAATGCATATTAAGTTAGGAAACATCTTTAAGTTAGGAAGCATAGCTGTAGAAAGTTGAATACCTGCTTGATATTAGTATATACTGGAGGGATAATTGATTGTAATCCAAATATGAATATGTAGCATAATGTTAGTGCAGCCCGCCAAAAAGGAAAAGCAAATGCAGTTTTAGGTTACATTTACTAAAGTATGGTTTCCAAGTAATAACAATCAAAGCTCCACTTCATACTGCAACATTGACCAAACCCCAATGTTTCAATATTGTGTTCAATTCTGGATACCACAGTTTAAGAAGGCTTCAGATAAACATAAACAGATTCATAAAAGCACAAAGAGGATTAAAAGGGGACTAAAATTAACTCCTATGAAGTGAAATTGAAGGAACTATACATGCTTCACCTTGAGAAGTGGAGGTGGGACAGCATAAGATATCTCCTTTCAAATATTTGAAAGTATGTCAGCAGAAGGTGAAAACTTGTTCTCTGTTCTTTCAGAATGCAGGACATGAAATAATGAATTAAAGTAATGGGAAACCAGATGATGATTAAATGTTGGGGGGGGGGGAACTTAACAGTAAGAAGCAGTTTGATAGTGAAGCCAATTATCCAGAGAGTTTCCATTCATTCCATCTGCTCATCTGAAAGTGAGCCATCTGGTAGAGATGTTTTAATTTGAATTCATGCCCCAAGTAGGGAGTTGGCCTAAGTGGGCCTTCCCACACAATGATTTTCTAATTCCTTGAAATAATGCAAAGTTCACGCCCCTGGTTTCTTCATTTGGCACTGGAAAAATCAGAAGATGAATGCAAGAAAGAGCAAAAGCCAAGCATAACTATTCAGAATGAAATTGCCTGGCATTATTGAAAACTAGGTCTGGATGAATTTTGAAGACAACGCCCACCTCTTTCTCTAGATTAAATAGTTTGTGTTGTTTGCAAACAGTGATGGAAAAACAAACAAAATGTTAGTGTTTGCTGATAAGTGATTTGCTAGCAATGGGTGATTACAATCAGCCCTAGAAATGGTTATAGGGGCATCTCCTGTTCCCCTCACTGATTCAAGCAATTAACTATCTTCAGAGAAAGCTGCTAGCAAAAAAATTGCGGAACAGGGTTCAGGCAGTCTGCTTAGCAAACTGCTATATATAAAAGAAGATAATCAAACTGTACCGATAAATTAAGTAACAATAGAATTAATATGTTTTCCATAACCTGAGGACAATTCTATCTCCATTACCAATGTTAGTGGATGTCACTCAAATATTTAAGTGCCATTATATTGTACAGCTAAGTTATAAGCACACCTACAAAGGCTTGCATTACCACTAGATGGCAGCAAAGAGATTTAAAAAAAACCCTTTTCTATGGCACACTGGCTATTTAGATTTTGCAATCATTAGTTATGATGATTCTTTTCTGCAAGTGAATCACTACTTACCTCGCCCCCACAATGCATTGCACTGGCGATCCCTGGTTTTACAACGGCCTCCATAACACCGCCCCTAAAGAGCAAAAAATGGGACTTGTTAGAGGCTCATGCAAGCACCACTCAGCTTGCATGTTTTACAGAAAAGTGTAATACCCAGTTTATGGGATTTGAGAATCCAGATCTGGCTTTACAACTCCACATTAACCTTTGTTTGTTTGTTTATTTGTTTGTTTGTTTGTTTGTTTAAACAACCATTGAGAAACTTGCTCCTTGTTCAATCTGATTTAATTAGAATTTTCCAAGGATACTCCTTTTATTAGGATTGACAGATGTATCCAACTGCAATTAATCTTTTTCCCCATATTTCTTGCAGTTCCACGAATTCTAGTTATGAAACTGAGATACCAACTATACCTGTTCATTCTCACAAAAGTAGCCATCCTGCTTATGTACATTAGGTGGACACTACGGAGAGAGAAATAAGAGAATTACATTGGAAAGGACAAAATATAGATAAATACCACTCAGGAAAACTGGTAAAAGGTTCTTTTTCGCAATCTAGTATGCTCCAGATATACTACCGTGTTTTCTTGAAAATAAGGCAGGGTCTTATTTTCTTTTGACCCTCCTGAAATAAGCACTTAGCCTTATTTTTGGGAAGGTATTATTATTTTTGAAGTGCAGGCGAGAGCGAGTGTGGTCACTTCATGGCTGCTGTGTTGCAATATTTTCAGGAAGGGCTTGTTTTGGGGAGAAGGCTTATTTTAGCACATGCACTCAAAAGCCCAATTGGGCTTATTATCTAGGGAGGTCCTATTTTCAGGAAAACAGGGTAGATGACATTCTATAATCCTCAGGCAACATGGCACATATTTAAGGAATCAGGTTAGGAAGGCCAGAAAATGTAGGGACCCATTTTAAATGGATATGCTTTCAAGCCAATTTTATTCACAACATCTCTTTTTTAGAAATTAAAATTCTAGATGGACTTTTCAATAATAAGGACAACCTGCCATCCGCTGTTGTGCAGAGAAGCCACCAAAACATGGATGTTTTGTATGGTAGGTTACAGTGCTATCCCCCACCCCCATCTACTCGTAAGTCACATTCCTTATAATTCCCCCAACTCACCTGACTGGAGTCCCCAGTACAAGTTTCTGGGACATCACATTCATTCACAGCTTCTCGACAAGTTACACCCCGTGGCTCATACTTCATGGGAGAAAATGGGAGAAAAATAATTGTGGACTTTAATATTAAGCTGGCAAGGAAAGAATAAAAAGAAGAATGTGTCTGGTGGGGGCTTTCTCTAACTTTCTCCTTTTTTTCTACTCTCAGTGCAGGAAAAGAAGAGAACCAAATTATCCCTAGCACCATGCAGGGAGAAACTGGGTTTATATAATCCTAGTTTCTAAATCTTCCTCCTTGCAACAAAAGAGAAAAAAAAGCATGTCTCAGCATTTTACCAAATCCATCCAGAGATTTGTGCTGTAAATATTAAACATGCACAGATATACATGCACCGGGATCCATCCATGAGTTGGGGATACCTGACACTATGAAGCTGCAGGAATTAAGCATCTGAAGATTTACTCAAAGGGGAGACTGCTGAACCCCATTCATCCCTTCACTCCCATGATGTATGCAAACTCTAATGCTTTGAGCTGTTCAGAAATATTTTGTAGAAAATCATGCATATCTGAGCCACCTTAAAATATGTGAACTGACAATTAGTACCCAATTGCTGCTTGGCCTGACTACAATTGGTTTTCTGTAGGCAGTATTGCCATGCAAGCCCTGATGATGCCCTGCTGTGTAACTCCCAAGAAAGATAGCTTTGCTTAAAACCTGTGAGAGATGGGCACAGAATCGAATGGCAGATGTCCCATTCCAACTTGTTTACCTTGCACTCTCGACAACACAACCCATCACTGCACATGGCATCATGTGTAAGGGTACATTTCTTGCAGCAGTTTCCCCCACTTCTAGAACATTCCTTTGAGAAAAGAAAAAGAATATCGTTAATATTGCTTGAGAGTTTAGGTTAAAGTTGCAAAAAGAAAAGTACAGCTTCAGGTTTTTTTAGATCTTAACTAACATTGTTTTAGAGGTTTGGGTTTTATTTTCAAACTCACCACCACCCACCATTTGAATACAGTAGGAATATGAAGTTTCCAACATGAAAACTTGAATTTGCAAGTTTTCCTAACATATGTTGCTTTATTTTACAAATTATACAGATTTAATCAATTCTCAAAAAAACTCTTTTTTCCTTCTACCAACTGAGATAATTATATTGTTTATAACATCAATTTCCATAATGTTTGTTGCTAATTTTTAACTAACATTTTTTTGAGGGGGGAGGACACATATCTCATGAACAGACAATATTTGTTTTTGTGGATTTTGAACAACACCAAAGTTAAACAAAAAGATGCTAGTTGATCTTATCCAGCATTAATGACAGGGTTATCCCAACATTTATGGATCTGAAAAAACATTCTGAAGAAAAAGAATGGGGGTTCTGATTCTGAACTACTCCAGTCTCTGATAAAATAACAAGATATTCTTCAGCATCCATAAAACAGAATTCAGAAGTCAAAGACTGGCAATAGAATTCCCGTCACACACTAGTAATATTATTTTGAGTCAGATGGCACATTTTTTTAGCCCCAGCTGTTGCTTACCGCAAAGGACCCACAGTCACATTCTTCTCCTGCTTCAACAAATCCATTACCGCATTCAGGAGGATCAAGGAGCTGTGTTAAGGAGATAGTGGTGAACAAAATGGAATCACTAGGTTTCATGACATCGTCTAATAATATTTTCATCTACATCACTCATCCTTGAAAATAGAAATGAAGAAACTCTCCTGAAATTTCTCCTTTTTATGCTCCATTTTGGGAGGTGGTAGATTTGAGGAATCAACAATGAAAGTGAAAGCAATTTTTTAAGGTAAACAATAATTTCAAAGTAAATCCCTCCATTGTTTTACCAATTGGCACCTGGCACAGGACCATAATTTAAGCAAACTGAACTCAGAATGACACTATACTGTTTACCCTGTTTTCCCAAAAATAACACCTCCCCAGATAATAAGCCCAATCGGTCTTTTAAATGCATAAAATAAGCCCTCCCTGAAAATATTGCAACACAGCAGCAGCCATGAGGTGGCCACACTCACCGCCTCCTGTATCTCAAAAATAATAAAACCTCCCCAAAAATAAGGCCAAGTGCTCATTTCGGGGGTCAAAAGAAAATAAGGCCCTGTCTTATTTTGGGGAAAACATGGTATGATAAAATGCTACTCAAAATTATGACATGAGAGCAAGGCAAAAAAATTGGGATTTAATATGCCATAGACAGTAATGGCCAAAATTGTGGAAACCTTTTGGAAAAAGTGTATGTTATGCCATCACTACCAAATAGGGAGATCTTGGTCTTATCACTCCAAATAGCATTGTTCCTGGGTTTTAGCCCAGTTTAGTTTTTCAACCTTTGTTTGAGAGATAAAAGTGGCTTCTTTTGTGGAATTCTAGATTTTAAGCCAAATTCCTGCAGTCTGTGCTGAACAGTCTTTGCACTCAACTACACATTGCATTGGGCCATTTCATCTGGTATACACCCAAATGATTTTCTTCTGTCACATAGGCACAGTCCAGTGGTGGGTTTCAAAAAATTTTAGAACCTCTTCTGTTGATATGGCCTGCTTTGTGGGAGTGGTTTGCCGGCCATGTGACCAGGTGGGAGTGGCTTGCCAGCCATTTTACTGGGTGGGCGTGGTCAACTTGTAAAATGTGGTGAAACTCACTTAACAATGTTCTTGTTTAGCAACCAAAATATTGGCTCAGGAACTCTGGCATTTGAAGCACGCAAGCCTTAAAACTGTCAAGTTACAAAGACCCTTGCACCCCTAACCCTTTAGAAAAAAAAACCAGGGGTGTTCAAACTTTACAGCTTTAAGACTTGTGGACTTCAACTCCCAGAATTCCTCCTCTCGCTCTTCATCTTGATGATGTGCAGATGGACAGGGGGAGGGAGCTGGAACCGGTTCTAAACGGCACTGTAGTTTTATGGAACCTCTTCTATAGAAGAGGTTAAAACTGGCAGGAACCCACCCCTGGCACAGTCTCTTAAGTCTTTTATCATCACTTGCTGTTGTGCATCATTTCATGCCTTTGCCAGTGTAGTATTGTAGTGACTGAGTCTCCTTATACCTCTTCAAAAACTTAGAAATGCCACTTTTGGTTAAGTTTCCACCAATTTTTCTTCCAATTTCTTTATAACTGTATCCTTGTTCAGTTAATAATACTATTTTACATTGCTTTCTGGGTGACCAGTCAACTCTTTGCACCATTACTTTCATTTTATTATGTTTTACAAGCTCACAAAACGAAGGAACACAAAAAATCCCAACCATCTTGATAGTGATCCCGTAACACAGATAAATGTTCTGCTCTCAGCTTAAATACATGACATCAGTAACTGAATACTACTGTGATCTGATTGGCTCATTGTCAAAGCAAGATGACAGCTGTGCCACAACTGGTTCGCTGTGGCACAGAGAACCAGCATTCAACATGGCTGCTGCTTCCCTGTGCTGCGCACTTTCCAAATGGGGCTTAGAAGAATGCAGCAGCTCACAGCTGCTAAATTGCACAAGAGACGCTCTCTCTCCCAGAAAGAGCAGCACTGGGCAGAAGCAGCCGCTGCCCTGGAGAGCATAGATGGAGCGGAGTAGGCCCTGAAAGGCTGCTCAGTCGACCCTCACCACGTGACAAAAGACACCATGTATGGAAGCTGAAGACGCGCGCTTACATTTTCTTTTCTTTCTTTTTTTTAAAAGAAGTTACTTTATGTACACATGCCAAAAAATATTTTCTTCTGCAAGATAACTTCAAGAGAAATAAAAGCTCAAAGAGTTAAGTGAAGGAATAATCTTCCAAACTCTTTAAGTAATTAAATGCACTATGTGCTCCTGCCAACAGTGAGTGTCCTGTGCTTGATCAACACTGCTTCCTGCTGTATTCCATCCACTGCATTGCGCACACAAACCTATTTACAAACTAGTGCGCGCTTACATTTTCAATGAACCAGTTATTAAGTGGGTTTAATCCGGGGGTGGGTTTTAGCTGGTACGCACCAGTACGGGCATTCTGGTTGGTGAAATTTAGCATGCCTTCCTGTACCTGATCTTCTGGAGGCCCCATACCAGAATGCTCCTCCCCTGGCCTGTCGTTCCCCCCCTCCCGCCTGATCACCACTCGCTCGCTCACCCACACATCCAGACCATGCTTGCCTCACCCACCCACTTCCTTTTCCCGCCCAGCTGAGGCTCCGAGGCTGCAGGCAGCCGGGGCAATGGGGGAATGGTGCCCGTCTGCCTGCCCCCTCCAGAAGCAACTGGGCAGGCCCTGGGATGGTCAGCAGCCCACGCACCACTGCCATGTGACCGCTCTGGGGGTGCAGCACCTGCCCAGACGTGGCTGCAACAGGACGGGGAGAGGCCATCCAGCAGAGTGTTCTGAGGTCAGTGGGTTGGCAGGGAGGTTGTGCAGGCTGGAGGCGAGACATCAAGGCCATCCTGGGTGCCTGCAATGGGCTGTGGCAGCTGCTGGATGGCTGCTCCTTTGTGCCCCGTTGCCGGCAGCAGTTGGCTTTCTCCTGCCTATTCTTCCTCTCCGGGCATTCGGGCAGGCCCTGGGTCGGTCAGCAGCCTGGTGTGCTGCTGCCATGTGACCATTCTGGGGGTGTAGCCAGGAAGGATTGCTAGGAGTATGCTAGGAGTATGCCGACTGCATCCAGGAGTGTCCCCAGGTTGGTGGGGTGGTGGGGAGATTGCACGGGGCTGGATTGGAGGTGGTAGGAAGGCAGGGGTTGAGGCTATGCCTCCATACCAGCAAAAAAAGGATATCCCGCCATCCCGGAACTGCGCCGCGAGGTAAGGGAAGCAGGTCTTGGGAGAGATTCCCCTCCCCCTTCAAAGAGCCCATGTGGGGAGAGAGGAGGCAGCCTGGTTTTAACATGGGCAGGCAGGCAGCAGTGCCTCCTTTGCTTGTTTGGGTGGGCAGAGAAAGAAAGGAGGTGCGCGATAGCCGAGGCACTCCCCTTTACCCTTGGTGTCAGGGGTGCTTTATCACATGCCCCTTTTTCTCCGCCTGCCCGAACGAGCAAAGGAGGCACCCGCCCCAAACTGCCAGCTTGCCCGCATTCAAACCAACCTCCCTCCCTCCTGTCTCTCGGCATAGGCTTTCTGGAGGGAGAGGGAAGGTTCTTCCCAACACTGGCTTCTTTCCTTCTCTCCTGCAGCATCAATCTGTAGGGGGAGGGCACGGACCATTCAGTGGCTACAGGGAAATGAAGGCCTCTTTGCCAGCCTTCCAGCTGGAAAAACAGACATTTCCACAGTGGCGGCTAAAACACAATCCCGGGCAGTCAGTTCCAGCTCTCCCTTTCCTAAGCATGTCCTGTTGCTGTTGGAGCCACTTTTGCTTAATCCAGTGCAGCAGCGATGGCAAGAAACGGCTGCCAGTGATGCTCTCAGCGATGGCAACAGTCCTGCTGCCGCGCCAGATTCAGCAAAAGCGACTCCAGCAGCAACAGGACATGCTTGGGGAAGGGAGAGCTGGAACTGACTGCCCGGGATTGTGTTTCAGCCGCTGCGGTGAAAATGTATGTTTTGCCAGCTGGGAGGCTAGCAAAGAAGCCTCCATTTCCCCGTTTCCGACAAACTCTCTGTGGCAGAAGGTCACTCCCAGCCAGGAAGGATTTCCAGGAGAAAGGAGCAATGGGATGTGAAGGAGTGGCTACCCAGCAGAGAGCTGGGGGCTAGAGGCAGCAGGAAGGCAGGGGTCAAGGCTGCCTTGGGTGCCTGCAATGTGTCGTGGCAGCTGCCAAGGTGGAAGGTCATCAAAGACCCACCCAATACCACGTGGCCAATTCGGGTCCCACTTGAAGGTACCACAGCTTGAAGGAATGGGCACCAAGTCTTCCTGCTGCTGAGCCCACCGCCGCTGGGAGCATCCGCACAGAAATCCCCATTACGGTTGATCCAGCTGGGAGAATGGGCCCCTGAAGACAGGGTGTGCTCTGTCGCCACCACTACAGCTGCTGCTGTCAGGCGCATCCATGCAGGAAAACTCCCCAGCAGTTCCAGGATGGCGGAAAGCCAATGCAAGCTCTCCCCTCTCCCGCTACTGCTGCCAGACGCATCCACAAAGAACTCCCTGGTGCAGTGCAGTTCCAGGATGGCGGAGATCTAAAGCAAGCTCTACCACCACCACCATTGTCTATGTGTCCAGACCAGGGTTGTGTGTGTGTGAGAGAGGGGGGGGAGGGAGGAAGCGAAGG